TTGCGGAGAGCATACAACATGCCCAGGGGAAACACGTTCAGGATCTTGGTGTTAGAGTTAGTAATTATTTCAAGTAACATTGTAGAGATTGAAGATATGTAATAACTTGATTTATTCAAAAATAAGCTATCTTTACAAAGCTAGTCTTCGTGTAAATGCTTAAAAGCTATGGAAATGCCTAAAACTTGTCTTAATTTTCAAGAAACTAATAATTGATTACATCAAGTTTATTGAAATCGCTAAGCCTAGCTTTTCTAATCAAATCACAGATAAGAATACTCAAAAGCTAATATATCAGGAGTACTGTTTGCAGCCAAAGATCATCCCACCGTCAGAGCCGAGTTTAGAGAGGATCCTGAAGTACATTGACCGACTTCAGAAAGCTGATTCCCCTCTGGACAAGTTAGAAAACCTTCTGGCAGCCATTTCAGCAATCTTCAATTCTGTATGTTCCATCGACGACATCAGGCACAATCTTTTCTTCGTTCAGAAAATAAATAATTTTAATTCTTTCTTCAGGTAAAGCATGCGAATTCCGGTCGACACGTGACCCTGGGTGCGGATGACCTTCTACCTCTTCTAGTTTGGGTGTTAGTTCGTGGAAAGGTGGTGGACGCTGAAGTGGAGGCCGAGTATATGTGGGGGTTGCTTCATCCCTCTCTTCTCACAGGCGAAGGGGGATACTATTTGACAACGTTGTCCAGCGCTGTTCATGTTTTGAAGACGTTCAAGTCCAGCCAGGGAACGATGTCCACGTTAAACGTAAGAGCTTTTGATGATTTTGAGACCTGAAGCATCATAAAGACATTGCATTAATCCTTTATCCCTTTATAATCATAAAATCTATAAAATTAATTTACCTTTTCTTAATTGTGTTTTGCAACAGGGTTACTATGGCTGAGGATATTTTACAAAATTAATTTAATTCATATTACAGTACCTTGCTATTCCATCGAAGGTGCCCAAAACTTGTTGCTTTCAATTTTATTAAAGTACCTTAAGAATTTTTAATATTTTGTGTAATTGCTTTGGCTATTGATTGCTAATAGGTTGATAGAATATATTAAGGGACATCGTTAGACTAACCACCATGAGTTTGCTTTTGTTTCAGGGTTGTGGAACACCAGACTGTTCGTCCGTACTACGGATTTTAGTACCAGATGAACTTCATGGATCCCTGAACACCAGAACGCTGCCTGTGCGACCGAATATGAACACCAGAGAGATATGTCGCATCCTCGCGCATAAGATAAGGTGTACCAATCCTCAGGACTATGGTTTGTTCAAGTTAGTCCAAGGAGAAGGTAAATAATTCATCAAATTATAGAACATTGATTGAAGAAGCAGAAGATCGGTGACTTAAAAACACTGTACTGTAGAAATTGGATTTTTTCTTGTTTCAGAAACCTTACTGGGCGACCACGAGTGTCCGCAAGAGCTCTCTCACTGCCTTTTCGCTTACAAGCGAATCGACGCGAAGATAGCCTGGCCGAAAACCAGTTCTTAAAAGTAGGTCTAATATGGAGGACCAGTTAGGATAATGAATTATCCTCTAGAAGTAACGATACTAACGATCACGAAACCTCGTCTCTAATCTCATTCTGATAGTTAGTCTCGTTCCTATACCCTGGTTTCTTTTCACCTTCACCCATAGCTATCGAAATGAAATTCAAATTACCAATCTCGAGCACAAATTTTCGACAATTAGCTCGTAGAAACACTGCCAGCTGGATGGGACAGCTCTTCTGAACGTATTGAGAAAGAAGAAGAAGAAATTACGAATCAAATCGGAGACAGTCCGAGCATTTAAAAGCGACCAAAGCTTAATCTAAGCATTGTGGGTTCATTTTTTCATTCGAAACGAAGCATCATCACATATCTGGCATCTAAGATCATCGTCGATCATCGTCTTTTTATTTTGGTCGCTCTTCTAAGTGAATTCTTGCCCGTTCTTTTAATCAATTAACCCTTTTTAAATGAAAGGATTAATATTGACTGTCATGTTCAATTGGAATGAATATCCCACCAGGAAATAATTTTATTTTTAATAAGTCTGATCAGATAATTTTATGGTATTAGTATTTGACAAAATCATTTAATAATTAATCAACGAATATAAAAATTCGTGGCAGTCGGAAAAGGTAAAACGACTTCTCTAGCTGCGATCTATCCGGATAGATCTTATTAATTTCGTTCTAAGAAATTCTTAAAAGCGCGAAAGCGTATTTGCTTGAGAACAATATTATATAGTGCAATGCGACAGTGCAATGATGATGAAGAATAGGAAGCGTTCTCTAAATCGTTTATTTTTAAACGCAGCTAAAGATGGTCGAGCTAAGAAACAGCGGTATACAATCAGGCAATTAACATTTAATCAGGTTTAATTTGCTCTCGCGAGCAGGTGCTAGATACAGCTCGTTCTATTCGAATTTTAAAAATAGAGCTCGATTTTTCAGCGTTGAACGACCGCTTGTATTTCGTGATCGATGTTGTAAAGGAAAAGAACGGATCATGTATTACTCAGTATTCGATATTTCGTAAAGCTCTGTGTAACAAACGAAGCTACTAATTAAGTTTTCTTGAAGGAGCGTTAGAGTTCGAATCGAAGTCTCTCTGCGAATGGTGGTATTTCGTTTTACAAGAAGTCTTTCCAAATTTCATTAGAAAGGATCGTAGACCTTCTTTGAGCTCGAATCCTAAATTACGAGAGATCATTGTACGTTTTTTACGGGATGAAGCCCCTATAAGGAGGAGTTTAAGTGTCTCTGTGACGAGCATTCTTGTTATGAATGAAATTCAAGTTTCAAATGAGAAAACATTGTCAAATAACATTAATTAATATTTCTATTATTAAACTTTATTAATTCCCATTTCTCAATTGCCTGAATCTTACAAATTTCATAAAAATTATCCTGCTTTACAGTCCTTTAGAAAAGAAGATACTATCTTTCTTTTTCTTCAAACTAATTTCATTCAGAAATGAATGTTCATCCCCAAAAAGAGAACAGAGACATTGAAACGCTTGCTGTGCAGGTAGCTCAAGCCTAAATTGTGTAACCAATTAAAATAAAAAAAGCAAAAAACAGAAAAACCGTAGGGGACTCCTTGATACAAATAAAAATTAGACTTAGGAGCACGAAAGGCTAGTTTAGACTCTATTTTAAGTACTTTCTCAACGAGTCGCGTTGGCGGATTAATGGATAAGCAATCTTCTGTACTTTTAGACGAACGTCGCATATTTATTGGGAAGTTGTACACAATATTTTACTATCTGTCGAATTTCATCCGGATTCCTTTTAGACGCGTGTCGCTTCTTCCCTTAATTTCTTTTTATTTTATTTCTTTTAATTTCTTCCCCCCAAGAAAATCTGCCAGGCTGATTTGCTCACCGATTTACGAAGGCTGTGGAACTGTCTCTCAGAAACGAATTTTAACTATCGATTCTCTCTTTCATTTCTTTTCTTTTATATTTTTTCATTTCTCGTTTCTGAAAGCAGACGCGGAGAAAAATGTCGTGGAGACGTGGAGCGAATATTTTATTACTGATTAAAAAAAAGAAACTCGTACAAATCAGCCTTGCATCGTTTTATATATATATATATTGGTATGAAAACACGACGCGTGTGTAGCCCCTTCGAATACGTGTAACAATAATAATAATATTATTATTATAGCGATTTATAAATGTACATTTCTCCTTGATATCGTACCTAATTTATTTTACGAAGCATTTTATCTTCTTCTTTCTTTTTTTTTTATTTTAATAACTGTAATTACAACCCCTTTGTCGCATTTAAACGTGCTTTCGAACCCTCCCTACCTTCATTGATTACAATTAATCGTGAACACGTTAATATGCTTCTAATTATGCTAGTCAAAGCCTCGAGAGGAGTTTGTTAAAGAGACGTTCATTTCTTGTTTTTTCAATCTCTCTTCGTAAGCGTAACTTCGTGATAGTTTTTATTTGTTAAAGAAGAAAGGTAAATATCATTGATTATCATTAATCTCTCACCTTTATTAATTATTATTATTACTATTGTAACGTGTAACACTATGCTCAATAAAAACTTTTCTATAATTCGAAGTGAATGGAACAATAACACAATGCTAATAGTATTATGATACAATAAACAATATTAATTATATTGGAATAAAAAAAAAAATTTCATACACTGCAATTTTCTTTTCTTCGTCGTCTTTATGGTTAGATTATAATACGATACAGATTTCTATCAGAGAAATATATGTTTAATAATGCAGTGTTATACAAGGTGTTCGATAACAGGTGGGCAAAATTTTAAGGGGTGATTCTAGGGATCAAAATAAGACGAAAATCAAGAATAACAAAATAGCGTTTGCTGCTTTGTTTTCCAGTAATTAACGTTTAAAAATTCGAGTAAAAAGCGCCTGAAACCTGCAACCCGCCCAGCACCGACGACTGATCGTCAGGTCAGCAGGGGAAGGTACAGCCATCGGTGCTGGGCGGGTTGCAGCTTTCAGGCGCTTTTTACTCGAATTTTTAAACGTTAATTACTGGAAAACAAAGCAGCAAACGCTATTTTGTTATTCTTGATTTTCGTCTTATTTTGATCCCTAGAATCACCCCATAAAATTTTGCCCACCTATTGTCAAACACCCTGTATTTGAATTTTTCTTCTTTTTTTTTAAATGTTATAAAAGCGCGCATTTGTGCCGTCTGGCAGTCACGATACGTCATTGGTACACAGACTGCTGATAATTATAGCGACGCTTTTTTTTTCTAATAATGTGTACAACGGGGCCAATCTTATCAGCTTATGGTGTTGTCACAATCTAAGGTAGATGAACTCTGATAGATACTGATAAAGTGATATACTTTTGATTTTTTTTCTTTAAATTTGTCTAAATTGAAAAATTATAAAGCAGTACAGCAAAGAAAAAGAAATTGGAATTCTATGACATACTTACATAAATATAAAAAAAAAATAGCTAAGGATATTCAATGGAGGTATTTCAGCAACAATGTTTTAATTAAAATTCGAAAACCTAAGTACAATTTGTCGTTTGGAAACCTTAATACGCGAAGGAGCAGACGAACAAGTCTTACCAAGTGGAAATATTTATTATAAATCAAAACTTACATATTATTTAAATAACAGTACTTGCACCTGAGAGCTGCAATACCTCAAAAGTTTTGTTGTTCCATTGAATAAAGCAACAACTACTTTCGACGGTGAACGGACACTAAAAACCTTATCCTAATACTGTATCACATCTATTTATCAAGTATAAAATTAGTAGATCATCGACGATCATTTATTAAAACCTCCTTTCAACGCAATAATAAAAAAAAGAGAAACTTCTTAAGGAACAAAGAAAAGAAGCTACACTATCCCTGCTAAGAAAACAAGCTAATAAAAACATCTAATATAAATATTAAAGAAAAAACAATTAGAATAAAAATATTAAAAATTACACAGGTCTTTTGTCGCAGCTTAACCAGCGATAGAGAGATTCTCGAAGTGTAAGTTAAAAGACAATTATTAAAATACATATACTCATCGTATACCTCTCAATAAATATTCTTATCTAGTTTATCTAATAGAAGAAACATAAAATAAGATAAAAGTGAACGTGTGGTGCGATTTTTATGTTAAAAATAAAATTCCTTTGCAACGATTCCACTTAATACAAGTGATCTTAAAATATAGCAAACTGTTAACAAACTATAATATTACATAAAAGCGAAAGAAAAGCTGGTATTCTCTAGGCCTTTAAGCTCTCAGGCGCAGAATATGCGTATTTATCAATAAATGCATGTTTCACTTTTCCAAGGTAATGAGAGCACACGTGAGAAAAGAAATGATAGCTTAAAAAAAAAAGATGAAGAGATGATTCCTAAATTAATGAACGCAGGAGCAAAAGATGAAGCGTCGATGAGAAATGAAATTGCTTAAATAATTACATGAGAAAATGAAAACGAACTAGCGTATCGCGGCTACGACTATAAAATGATAATTATACACCGGCGAGCCGAATGTAATATCTGAAATCTTTTGAACTAGGCCAGTCCAATGTAATTTCTTTCACAAGTCTCTCTGATTTTTAACTCTTTCTTCATTTATTCATTTGAGAAGCGAATAATTATTTTGTAGCAGTTAACGATAATAGAGTAATTATTAGACTATTTAATTTTCATTTTCCTTGTTAGTTAAATATTGATGTAAAATATCGAGTTTCTTTGCTACTTTCTAAGTACAGTTATAGTTGCTTTTCATTAACAATAAATGTATCATGGAAGCAACATACATCCTGTACAATAGGAGTAATTATCATTTGAAACTTCTAGCGAATTACATTAATAATTTCCTTGTTCGTAAAATTCTATTCATTAATTATGTAACAAACTATGTTCCCACTATAATGATTCCTTATAGAAACACTCATTCATGATGAATCATTACAATGACACAATTTTACAATGAAAAAGTTCAACTCGTTGTTCCTTGAAAATGACAGAGCTCGGATCTATGCAACCAGGACTCGACTAATTCAAACGATCATCATTATATATCGTCGTAGCTACTCTCAAAAATCAAAAACAATTTTCTGACTGGTTTAAATAGTTCGCATTCACAGCCAGTTACAATGACCCTTGGCTTTAAAGCATACGTTTTAAGTGTACATAAAACATGGATGTAAAAGGAATCCTTGTTTCGCGTCCCGACGAGATTGAACACAAGGATAACAAAAAGGAAAAAAAATGAATAGAATAAAATTCAGAGACGAAATAATAATTTAAATATCGCGATAACTATAATACAAGTATCCGTCGTGCTCGCGCTAATATCTTAACAGCGAACGCAGGGAATAAATTAAATATTGCGAATACATAAGTATACCATAAGTATTTTTTTAAATGTACGATTATAAATAGGACAAAGAAATCAATGTCTCCGGCAGATTGGCTCTTTTCGCTACATTCCGAATTCCAGATGGGACAAAAATAAAAAAGGGAAAACGCGGTTCGTTCCTAACGAGTTACAATTTGTGATTAATCTTGGGGGAGTGGTATGACGATGATAATTTCGCATAATCCTAACATGCATGGTGTGTAAGAGTACATTTAATGCTAAGCGACATACAAACATTCCCTATGTTATATGTAAATCATTTTCATTAATTCTGAATCGAGAAAGCTGCTAGAGCTCATGGAATGATTACACGTAGTCGCATCGTTTGAACTGTGGTATGCTCAACGAAAAAAAGAAGAAAAAAAAAGAAAAAAACAAGATATGTATGCGTGTATGTAAAATGGACGCCTGTACGAAGAAACTTTTGTTTGTTCATTGCTCTCTGTACGATACGGAGAACGGTGATTGAATACATCCTGATTTCTTTAGGTCAATATAACTTGCAGCATGATATATATTCTCTCTTCTGTCGTTTGAAACACAATGGACTCGGTTGGATTTTGATTCGTTTACGCACACGGTTCCCAAAGGCGGTAGAGCAATTTCCCTTGCAACCTTCTTTCCTGTTCCAAATTCTCAGTCGCTAGCACGAAGTTGTGATCAGGGTGGGTCCCGCGTTGTAACGAGCAACGTGACCACTTCGTTAACGGTACGTCTGATTGAGAAGAAAAAGCAGCTGGAATGTGCTGTACACGGTTAAACGATCCAAACAGAATGGACGTCAGACAATGTTTTAATTAAACAATGCAGAGCCCTTAATCATCCCAACATATCGTTTTCCGCGTATAATATCTCTTACATAGTATCCTTTATTGCGAACGAACGAAATACTTCCTGTCCTGAAACAAAAGGAAAATACTTTCTAGAGAGATCTTTCCAAAACTGGTGGCAAAGGCTAAATCATCTTGCGTCTTCAATGTAATTTTCTCTTCTTTGATTAATCAACAGAAAAGTAGAGATTCAATGTTAATTAAAGACACAAGATCAGTGCAAACTTCTGATAAATGTTACAAAAGCTGAAAAAAAAAGATGGGATGTTAATTTTCTTCTTATCGTGCCAGGCAAAAACTTAACTGAATATCAATGCAACATTTAGTGAGAATAATTACTGCTCGCAAGGGTTCATTCCAAGTATATGTACAAATTGGTACACGTTAGACATGTTAGGTACAAGAGAGCAGTAATTAATTGGAATGATAATCATATTGATACTTGTTATACTACAAAAAAAGGTCTGCGCTCTTACAATATCTAAAAACAAAAAGATAATGGGTAATGGATGATTAATGATAGGAACAAAAAAAAAAAAAATAGATTCCTCTGTGCATTAACATAAAACATTGAAAAATAAAAAAGTAAATTATTCTACAAATCTACGAATACGCACCTGTTCCAGAAATCGGTCATTTCTGTCCCGTTTGTTGTCCAGACGAGATCGTACTCCGGTGACATCCTTTATTCTAAGTCCCGGCCCGCAGAGTACTCAAATCAAAGCGAAACAAAACGACAACGCAGATATCGAAAAAAAAAAAACGACTGGTAACAATAGTGGTTAAAGAACACAAATGCGTGCGAGGAAAATTAATGATGCAAAACCTGTGTTACACACATTCTTTGTTTCGTATAAAATGAGAAATGACGCGTGTTAGAAACCTGCCCCTGATCGATGATAACAAAAGAAACAGAACAGACAGACAATAAATATAAATTCCAGAATGTAAGGGTCCTGCACACATCACTGAGCATCGGTCGAATAACAAGTAGATTCTTATACAGTTAGAAAATAATTTATTTGTTCGCTTGTTAAAGTCTCAAGGCACTACTTATTATTAAATAATCCAGTTCACAGTTACCGATTGCAATTTTCAAACATTATAACGTACAATTAAATGTAGCATAACAATTTTATAAATTTATCTAAATAGGATCTTGAATCGTTATTATTTTATAATGTATAAAAGATTAGAAAAGAAGAAAGGGATACAAGGTGCCCCGAACGATAAGACAATTACCCTTCTTTACACTCTTGAGATCTGTTAAAATAGATCCGCAACACAGCTTTTCATTCATTTGTAGAACAAATGAGAACCGTTTAAGAATCTAAATATATAAATATATAACATAGTGAATTGCACGAGTTGCATCCATTTCTTATAAAATACATAATACTTTGAAGGGGACAATTTGAATATAACATGAGCTTCGAGACACCTCAGAGCGTAATTAAAAATTAGGACACAATCAGTGTAACCCTAAGTGAGAAAAGCTTTCGTTTGAAAAATAATGTAAATTAAACACATTGTTTTACATCGACGAGATAACGAATGTAAAACCGACGACAAATTTGTCATCTGAAGCTAGAAAGAAGACTGCACATTTGTTAAAAATCAGAACAGACTATACAAGGATGTTATATGATAAAAAAACAACCTCTTACACAGAGAACATTAATGTAATTTTCGTCACATGTTATTTAGAGCGTTATTAATTTTCTCTGCACATGAAATTATCTTGAAAATCCGTCATCTTTGCAAATCTATACTGAACTATATAGTTAAGCAAAGCTGTTGCTAGAAATTGACTACTTATAAATTTCGTGTGCGTTGTTTCACCGTATTTTGGCTTACGAAAAATATCTTAAAGCATTAAAACGACGCTTTTTACTCGAACAATTGGTTACTGTCCGTTCAATTAATTAATCCCCATCGCGGGTATCTTTCATTCAGCCAATAATAACACGTGAAACGAGTTAACTATATAGTTTCATTAAGAAAATAACTATCTCTGGAAGCATTCTTTATTCTAACTGCTTTTTTAATATGATCGTGTATGATACAAGCGTAAAAAGTTTCAATAGTTTAAATAGTAATTACAAGATAAATAATGCAAAGTGATAAATAAAACAAAATGCTTCGTATAAAGCACCTCCATCGAATTCGGATAAACGTTTTAAAAAATTACGAAATACAAAAAAATCATCCTCGGTCGTTAAAATAAAGAAGGTAGCGGAAAAAGAAAACGAAATATTAATTAAAGGAGCGTTATTATCACAGCTTACAAGTGGAAGTGATTCGTAAAAGGCTGTACTTTTTTCTACGCAATACTTGTACAAAAGGCTAATTGGAAGTAGCAACAAACGGTTTATCGAAATACTTGTAAATGTAATAAAAGAATGTGCAGTTATGTGCTTTCGTCGTATCGTCGGAAACACCGGCTGCTGGGAAACTATCAAATGCCCAAAAGTATTGCCAAAGGCCCCATCTCTCCTACAATCCAACTACACGTCCCTATTATGTATAAATGCTTAAGAGGAATCATTAAGGACATGTTTCGCACGATTTTAACGTGTTCCTCAGCGTTTGGGTTACTCCATTATGAAAATTTCAAACAAACACCTAAAACGTAATGTTCTCTCAGACATGCGTAATTCTTTTTTAAATATATTCTCTCTCTCGTCCTAACGTTAGAAAAAAACTTTCAGCGACCCACCGAAAGTCGTTGATCATTTGTGTGATCAAGGCATAATTGAACGACAGGTAACGCTACAGACGAATATCCTACGTGGAAGGGTGAATCCCGAAAGCTTGAAAGATCTTGTTTTTAAAACCGGGTTTGTTAGGACTAGCGTCGTGGTGGCCAGACTGTCCTTCGTGTAGCGCCCTTTGTACCAGCGGCAGCGAGCCCTGTGATTGTGTGTTGTATCGCCAATATTCATCAGAACGGGCCGGATAACGAAAAAAGAACAAAAAGAAAGAAGAAAAGGATAGTAGACGACTAATCGTGTGCTACAGCATGCAGTGCGACTAATATCTTTCTTTTTATTTCTCGACACAACTTACCTCGTCGTGTTGCTCGTGTTCGCTGTTTGCTAAACTAGATCGCGAACCGCGTCGCGTCGATCCCTTTTCATCCCCTAAAATCTGCGCGACCTTTCCCTGCTTCACGAACTCCAATGTCTGCTTCAAAAGAAACGAAACAACTTAAGTAACAAATGCTTATAGCCTTTTCGATCAAGTTGTAATAGATTTTAAGATTTTATTAAGGGCAAAATATTCGACTAATTTAATTTGTTTTTAATTAATTTGTAAACCTGGTTATTTCTACAGTAAAAGCAGAGATAGATGAACGATATAGGTACCGAAGAATTTGAGATAGTTGAACTTACCTCTCTTCGTGATCTCAGAGCACAATCCTCCAAGGTTTCTGCAGCCTCATACTTCCCTTGCCTTCGGTATAACGCACCAAGATTTTTTAACGTAGTCGTAACTGTAGGTGAATCCACCTTAGCGGCTTTATGCCAACCTCCATACTCTCCATAAGGAGTATTCTCTTTATTTCTATGCTTATTCTCTTCCCTTTCTTCCGCAACCTGAAATCCAGAATTTCCCAACATATACAACTAACTCTGAAATCGATCATAATCGCAGGGTTTTTCTCAGAAACAAAAGCTAATCTTCACCTGCCAGATTGGTTTGTTATCGCTACAAATAGCACCAAACTCTTTCTCGTGCGCTCTTGTTAGTACTTGTTTGTACAAAACCTCGGCGTCCTTATATTTTCCTTGTTTCAAATAACAAGACGCTAGATTGTTCTTTGTTTTCGCAACGTTAGGATCGTCGGGGCCAAGTTTTGCCTCGTAAATCTCAAGCGCTCTCTGATAATAACGCTCTACCTCCTCGTATTTACCCTGATTTTGACAGAGTAACGCGAGATTGTTCAGCTGCTTTGCTACGTCTGGATGATCACGTCCGAGTACCTTCTCTCTGATATCCAGAGCACGTTTACACAATGGCTCAGCTTCTTTGTACTTGCCCCGCTTTCCATATAAAACAGCTAGATTGTTCAGCGTAGCTGCGACTGCAGGATGATTCTCGCCGAGTGTCTTTTCACGGATAGTCAACGCATCGTTCAATAGATTTGCCGCCTCTTTGTATTTATTTTGATCTCTGTATACTAAAGCGAGAATGTTCAACATAGTTGCAACGTCCGGATGATCGTGACCGGATGTCTTCTCCAGATCCTCTAACGCTTGCTTGCAAAGAGGTACGGCTACTTCGTAACGACCTTGACTCGCGTATTGTATAACCAAATTGTGCAACGTACGCAAACGCGCAGGTATTTCGTACCCGGCGTTTACCTGTTGCGCAAATTGCGACGGTGGTGTCGGCGATATCGCTGCAACGAGTATGATTAACATTGAAAACAGCGGCTCTTATCGATTAGCTTAGGCCTGTGCGAATAAGAAATCTTACTACCGCAATTCTTTAGCATCATCAATTTCCAGCTGAGTTATGGTAAATTCTACATCTCCGCTAAGGCAATTTAACAATGATATCAGTAAAATTTCTATCGATTATTCACACAGACTTAAGGGAAATTCAAGCACCTAAGAGAAATGCTCGGTGGTAGAAAGGAAAATTGAACATACACTTACTGTTTCGGTCGTCAGCGTCGTCGTCGGGGAACAAATCAACTACAGGATCATCTTTTGGTCTGTCTTTAGCATTCTCATCATCAGCTGATGGATCTGGATCGTATTGCCTCATGCTAGCCATAAATTCCAAATGTTTCTTATCTTCTTCTAATTGAACTACCTGAAGAATTAATCAATATTTTAGTTTCCTATCCACTTCTCTTACTTAATATAATTTTACATAAAATTCAGTTACATACTGCTTGCTCGCTAGCTTGTAACTTTTGCTGCGTTCCAGCTAGCTCATCCCTCAGCCAGGCGTTCTCTTGACATAGCCTTCTGACTTGCGTTCTAAGCTTTTGTTTCTCAGCCTCTACCATTTGCAAATGGCTAGCAAGAGCCATCATAACATGAGCCTCGCCAAGGCCCAGTTCAATCATCTCAATGTTCTTTGATAGCAAACTAGCTTTGTCCCTTGCAGCTGGTGCATCTTGTGACTGGAGCCCCTGCAAAAGCCCTCCATGTTCTACACGAAGGGCCTCCAGTCCCTGGGCAACAGTCCTGGCACCAGCCACAATTTCTTCCTGTGTCATGGCCGTCATTCTACCAATGGTTTCTATTTTCTTGCTGCAAATAGAAAAGCTAAACTATAATATTCAATTTAAACGTAATCATTCATCTTTCGTTTATTTTTATAAATCACTATGATACCCAACGATGGCTACGCGTATAACATAGCCAACTACGATCGCAACCAAGGCAGAAAGTATAGAAAAAAAAGGAAAAACAGAGGTAAGCGGTATTTGGAGCGACTTGCTTTACGCGCCAATAATTAACCGCAATCAAAAATAGACATCGCGAAGTATTTCAGTCGGGGCAAGCAGAACGTATCCGGCATTGGTACGTAGAGAGAACATTTTCAGGTATAAACCGACGTGGATAATTCTGTTTTTACATAAACATACGATTTCCTTTGATTTAATCATTCGAGTTCGACCAGACGATATTTTCACAACGATTAAAATAAATTATCGTGAAATTAATTCGAATAGAAACTTACCCCATGTCAGGGCCGCGTTAAATCCTCAGAAATCAATGGTTCAACATATACGCGCAGGCGCAACTGCCGAGTTACTTCTCTGATGCGACAGAGTTTAGGTGAATTTTCACAAAGAGAAACAGGGTTATAATCCAACTGGTCAGTGATTAAATTTAATTAGAGAAACATTCACGCACGACGGTAGGTCGATTGATGGTAGAAAGAGGTTGAGAAATCAGTCTCAAACGAATTCGTTCCGACGAGAAATTCACCCCATGTCAGAACCGCCGCTGGACACAGCGAAATCAATGGCTCGATAGTTCCGCGCAAGCGTAAGTACCATGGCGTGCTCTTTTATGTGACAGAATGTATATATAGGTATACAGAAGATGGTGAAATTTCTAGAATAGAAAAAAAAAAAGAAAATATGCGACGCTGCATGTAATCGATAAAGCACGACGGGAAATACGCGTCCATGCAGCATACGGAGAAGCTAGTGACGTTCTCGGGCGAGGTCAGGATTTCAGGGTTCTGCACCTGTAAACCTTGACCTCGTGCAATCGTCCTTCGGAAGGAGCCTTGACCTCCGTCGTTTGACAAATGGAGTATTTTATGCTTTCAACATTGAGAGTTGATCTTAGGGAATTTTTATATAGAGGGCAAAGCAAAGCCCCATGGAAAATCGTGGGCACAATAGCGCCTGCGAAACGACTTCCCGGCATACGTAAGTAACGAAGGAGCGTGGCGAGAAAAGTACTAGTCTGGAACCAACGCATCGATTTCACATAGAACCTGCATTATAGAATATCAGCAGTGAAAGTGTTTCACAGCTGATAGACACACGAAATATTTTTCATGCTGTTGTTCTTTTTTCGCACCCACGCATTGCGGTACCTGAGTTCAAGGTACATATCCCTAACAAAAGATTTCCATTTGGGCATGCGGTTAGTGCGACTGCACGTATTCAATCGTTTCGCTGTAAAAGAATATAGAAAAAGGAACTGTGGGTGAAGTTTCTAATGAAAGTGCACGGCAATTAGAGCTTGGTATGTTTACGTAAAAACAGCAATGGAGGAATGTTCGGTCGGACTCTGTTCATATTAAAAGGAAAAAAAAAATGAGATAACGATCAAAATTAATTATATGAGGACTCGTAAGTAGGGGAAGCTACTCACATTCTATAAGCGTTCAGCGTTTTTGACATATCTGTTCTACCCATCGGTAATGTTGGACTCTGTTGGACCTACCTAATCCTTACAAAAAAAATTGAACTCTCTACTATATCGATCTGGTTATCGTTTCTTCGCGGACAGTCGTATTGTCACTTTCAGTCGATCGAATCTTTCGTAAAAAAGACATTTATCCAGTTTAGATGGTAGAAAAATAGAATCTATACATATGTACACTACAATGTGTCCCCGCAATGTGATTAACAAAGAGAGGCACCTCGCGGGATCACGTTTAATTCTTTACTGAAGACTAACGTTTGGCTTCGCACCCTATCCACGAAAGACCGACACGGTAGAGGGTTGGTAGGGAGCAAAGGATTGCGCATGCGCTAACGATTTTATCTGGGGTTCCCCATACTGCACAAAATACGTGTGCGGATACCGGTAGTCCATAGCAGGTACAACGGAATGAATGATGCGTTTCTGCATAAGAAACTTTCGTGCTACGCGTTACTCCGGCCGCATACGCAAATAAGCGTCAGTCGGTCAGTGGGAATTAACCAGAGGGTGCGTAAGGGTGCGATGAATGAAGCTCTTAAGAAAAGGGTGACGCGTGCATGACACTTCATGGCCGAGGGACTTTATTAAAGGTGTTAGTTCAAATTTATCTATTCTTCTTTGAACTTCAATCTTAACCTAACTTATCATTTTATTACAGGGTAGGTTAGGTTACGTTAAGTTTGAAACACAAGATATTGATAGCTTATCAACGTTCGTATCCGCTTTTATAATTGCTCTCTTCAAAACCTGACAAGGGAATATAATCATTGTTGCGAGGTTAGATAATTAGTTTCGAACTAATTAATTCGACCGGATCTCGAGACTTTGTGGAACGTTTTAGGAATCTCTGCGCGGCGAAAAGCGTGCATAGACCGTTTTCGCAATCTTTTAAGGGGGAATAGAGACTGGTAGCCGATGACTCACGGCATGACGACAGAACATTGGAAGTGCTGTACCATGTGCGCTCATTCGTAGAGAGGTGTACTATACATGTATGTACAGCTGCGTGTGCAAGACGGCACAAAAATTGCTTTCTCAAATCTAATACATGCCCGTCTAATGTAAAATAAAATAGAATTCCAAAAGAACAGTAAAACATACGTTACAGGTTTAATACGACCATCATGATGCATTTCTCTTTTTAGAAATACTGAAAAAAGATCGCTGCTAATTTATTTAATATTTTCTACTTAGAACGTAAGTAGCCGCTTTAGAATTTAATTTTCAGATGCAGAATGGGGTCGGTAACAGCGCGTGCAAGTGCAATGATATCTTTTTGTCACAAATGGCATAGCGATGTGAAACAATTGAAGATCCATATTTGTGCTTGCACGCTGATACGCTGATTAAGATTCATATCATATAACAATCGCATATTCGTTTCATGTTTCATTTATATATAGTAAATTGTGGTAACAGTTTATAGATCACTGTCCCGCTGCTTGGTTAGGTACTTTATTGTGCAGGTTCTTTAAATAACTTAATAAACAACTGCACTTTGTTATCGCTCTTTTGTGACTGTATGTTCCGATTGAGGTTAGGAATTTTAAGTTCGCAATAAAACGATATATTAAACAGTTATTTACGCTCTTATTTTTTCCTTAAATAAACATGCATAGAGTAAATGAGAAATTAAAACTAATACCTATAGATATTAATAGGTGTAGTCAGGAAAATTAATTTTTTTTTAAACCAATATGTTGGCTTTGAATGAACTGTGGTTCGCTTATCTGACAATTTGTGGTTAACCTTCGCTTATCTGTGTACATTTATGTAACGATACGTATAAAATACATAATACCAGTGACACAGTGAAATCATTCCTTTTTTTTATGTTTGCGAAACTATTCCACTGTTAAATTAGTGAAAATTCGATGAAACGCGTTCCTTTCTAAATGCGCTAGAATAAGGATAATTATCATCACAATCATCGTCATGGTCACTGGTTTTCTGTCATGGTTCCGCAGAATCTTATGGAAACGAATTAAGATAATTTGCTTCCGGCTAATAAGTACTTGCCAAAGGCGTGGCAATTCGAACTCGAACAAATGCTTCTGAAGTTTGTAGGCGTCAAAACGAAAAGTATCATTTGGAAATATATGTATAGCGATTTAACTTACTCTTGAGAACGGTCCATGCAGGAATCTTCCACTCTTCAGTGTACCATCCCACTTCCTTAAAGAAGCGAAGGATGCTTCGATACACACGTCGAAGACGAACCTTTAAGAGAATCTTTTTTATAATAGACAAGTATATTTTACGAGTTTTGGTTACAGAATATTTCATAAACCATTCGGCAACAATGTTCGTACAGTAGTATCGGTAGCGATAACATTGAAAAAAGTGAATTTCACTCACCGATCACGGTTGTGAATTCACTGTGGAATAATCTTCACGATAAGAGGGAAAACTTGTAATTTTTTGGTGGAGAAATTGTATCAAATAGCACAGATGAATTTTAGGTAAGAAACACTAAACTTTAGTCGAAAGGTTCGATGACAGACTAAGATGGCGATAACCGTGAAAATTAATAAAAGTACAATAACCACATATTTCACGATTTCAACATCGAGCAAGTGAACACTAAGCGTAGTTCTCACTATCACGGTACCGTAGACTTTCGTTAAATCGAGTAAAGATTAAAAATGTGTTACTCGGGACGAGTAAATGGTAACAAAGTCTTTAGAATGTTAAAACGACCGTCAGCCGATCGTAAAAACGCGACTGTAGCGACTCTATTCCGATTGCAGCGCCAGTCACCGGAATTTTCTATAAGGCATGTTTTTATGAAACGATTTTTATCCTTTAGTCTTAGTCAATTAGATTTAAGATTATTCATTCCCTTTAAGATATTCTAAGCTTAACATTAAAAACATTAATCTGAATGTAAGTTTGAGTTGTATTATTAACGTTCGACCAAGAGCGAAACACCATCAGTCTTATAGCGACCGTCGAGGTATGCAGATCTACCTGCTAAACATACATGTATGTACCCTTATTTTGTTTTCTGCGTTCGTTTAATTTGTTGTATTTATCTTCTTAGCTTATTGAATAAACTCATTAGCAGGAAGAACGTGTTGGTTTTATTACTTCTTTACATCCCTGATTCATTTACATCTCTGCACCCTTTACATCCCAGTATTCCTTGCATCTATGCATTCCTCACAACCTTGCTTTCTTTATATCCGTGCATCCTTTATATCTCTGCACCCCTTATATCCCAGCATTCCTTACATCACTGCATCGCCTTCATCCCTGCAACCCTTATATCCCTGCAACCCTTATATCCCTACAACCCTTATATCCCCGCATCCTTCGTATCATTGCAACCCTTATAATAAATATAACTGGTTCGAGTAAAGATAAATAAAGGTAAGTAATCGTCCCAGCAATTTTGTACAAATTTAGTTCCTATTTTTGCCGCCAGAGGGCGCTGCTTCAACGTCGAAAATTTAGTTCACATTTTTGCCGCTAGAGGGCCAAAATTTTAGCATGATTTAGTTGTTTTTTTTTGACACCAGATGGCGCTGATCCGAGATCGAAAATTTAGTTCGCATTTTTGCCACCAGAGGGCCAAAATTTTAGCACGATTTTGTTCCTTTTTCTGCCACCAGATGGCGCTGATCAAACATCGAAAATTTAGTTTGCATTTTTTCCGCTAGAGGGCCAAAATTTTAGCATGATTTAATTCTTTTTTCTGACACCAGAGGGCGCTGATCAAACCTCGAGAATTTAGTTCGCATTTTTGCCGCCAGAGGGCCAAAATTTCAGCACGCTTTAATTCCTTTTTCTGACACCAGAGGGCGCTGGTCAAACATCGAGAATTTAGTTCGCATTTTTGCCGCCAGAGGGCCAAAATTTCAGCATGCTTTAGTTCCCTTTTCTGCCACCAGAGGGCGCTGATCAAACATCGAATATTTAGTTCGCATTTTTGCCGCCAGAGGGCCAAAATTTTCGCAAAAATTGCCTCCGAGGAGGGGAATGTAGGGATATTTTGGTTGTGGAGATATAGGGAATACATGGATGTAAGGGATGTAGGGGTGAAACGGATGCAGAGATGTAAAGTATGCAACAATATAAGAGATACGGGGATGTAAGAGATGCAGGGATGTAAGGGTTGTAGAGATGTAAAGCATGCAGGGGTACAAAGAATTCAAGGATGTAAGAGATCCAGAGATGTGAGAGATGCAGAGATGTAAGGGATACAGAGATATAAAGATTTCAGGGATATAAGGGATGCGGAGATGTAAGAGATGATGAATGTAAGGGATGCAGAGATATAAAGATTTCAGGGATATAAGGGATGTGGAGATGTAAGTGGTGCAGAAATGTAAAGAATGCAGGAATTAAGGGAATGCTCTGGGAACTTATGTATCTGTGGTCACTGAATAAAAATACTGCATCTTGCGATAAACCATATTTATTTGAATAATTATTATTTGAATAGTAAATAGATACAATAGAGAACGCTTTTAGCAGGCCAACTTCTCGATAACATTAGAGAACTATCAATATATTTCTTTTTTTTTTCTAAAAAGAGATAGGGTATCGAAATATAGAAGCTTCGATCGTTTTAAAAATCTCAATAATAATTAGGAATAATGATATAGGTAATTCATAATCGCCTTATTAAAAACAATTAAAATATTACCGTACAGATAAATATTGCTAACTCGGAAACAGTTAAAATTTCTCATACATGTAATGGCATTATTAATTAACCTCTTGGCCTAAAATAAGAAAATGCTATATAATATATAATAAGAGATTGCATTGCGACTCTTTGTATCCTGTGAAAAATGATCGTTAATCATCGTTTATCGGACACATATTTCTTTTAAGGTCCGACTACTGAGCATCTTTGATCTTTTTTAAATGGCATCGATATCAAAATCATCCTCATCATCCGAGTCTTCATTAACTACAGCAGGCTTCTTCTGCACAGGCGGTGGCTGTTGTGGTTTTAGTGATTGTTTGGCTCTGTCATCATATTCAATCTGCAAAAGAAAATTAATAAATTAGTTAAATTTAAACATTATATATCAGTTTAACTACTGAAAACGTTCAGAGTTGAGATTTACCTCCAGATCATCGTCTTCTTCTTCTGATTCAGAATCTTCTTCCTCTGCTTCTTTAAGCCAAGTTAGGAACGGTGCAGCTTTATCGTGAATTTCTTGAGATAAATCTTTTGATACATATTTTTTGGTCACTTTATTCGACCATTCGAACAAAGCTTTTTCTTCCAAAATATCAACATCATAGAAGAGCTACAATTAAAACAATTTACCGATATAAATATATACCACGATACTACATAAATCATTACGAAGATGATTAATTTTACCTTTAAAATGCCGGGTACTTTTGGCATCAAAGCATCTTTATGGAGGGCTATCACTTGTTCGATTCCTCTGATTAAATACTTCTGTGCCCTGATGTCATCGTGGGTGAAACGTAGCAGAAGTACCCGATATTTCTTCGCTTGAGCAGCAATGTTTTGATCGAAAAGTAATTCAGCCAATATCAATGGAGCCTTCGTCTTGATCTCCAGGCGTTCAGCCTCCGTTATCAGCTCTTTATGGTTGTCCAGTTGCCCAGCGTCGCGACGACATTTAACTAATTTATAAAACATGTCCATCCTCTCCTTTTCAGTCTTATCGAGATCGTCGCTGATGGTCATCCCCTTAGCCCCGTCCGTCAAGTCTTGCAGACGAGCTCTAACCGCTTCTTCTGACACGTCGACCGCCCAATTGTCGTCGTCACAGTCCTCTGAAGCCATCTTCTCAGGAGCCTCGACCACGATGTCAGTGGTGCTTGTATCGTTCTCAGGTGAACCAGATCGATCACCGTTCGCAGTTGCGGTGGTAGTGGTGGTTGTCGTGTCACCGTTAGCGCGTTTCGAACGTTTACCGCGTTTACCTTCGGTCAACGAGCTGCCTTGAACGGCGGGATTCAGGCTCGGTGGATTCTTCAGGATGTAGGTATTCAATTTATGATTACTTTCGAGTAGCCCGTGGTAACCGCAAGCTTTACATCCCTGCGAGATGGTCCCTTTCTTAGCGCTTACCATCAGCTCTGTTTCCGGATTATCGCATGCCGGGCATAGAACGTATTTTCGAATGAATCCATCGAGGAGATCTTGTAATTTTGTAGCGTCGTGGGAACCGTTCACGATGAATCTTTCGTTTTTGAAATCGAACTGGGTTTGAGCACCGAGCTCGCAGCCAAAATACTTGGTCGGATATGTGGCGGGTCTTCCGATCGCTTTAGCTACGTCGACCATGTTCACGATCACGGTCTTGATGCCGTTACCCTTGCCCTCGACTTTGGCTTGGATACGCGGCATCTTGTAACGATAAAACGCATCGCTGACGTTACGGTTAACGTTGACGCTAGCCATGGTGACTGATGTTTCCGTCTCTTGCTTCTAGATAACTTAAGGCTCGTTCCAAGCGACAACAACTTATGACGAGACGTTGTGAACGCGTTACAGAAAATCGTGGGTGGAATTTGTTCGAAGCTTCTTCTTGGTTTGCTCGTGGTTGCTCTTAGATTCTTCTCAGCCGCTACTGTTATCCTGATGGTTCAAGTAGGTAACGTCTTCGTCCTCGTTCTTCTCGATCTAATTTTCACGTTTCCCAGCGGCAGTTTGATTGCTGTGCAGCGACGTTGCCAGGCAATGGCTACCCGATGGTAGCTCGTTACGTGTCGAGTCAGGGTGATTTTCGTTGTCTGCGGTAAGGTGTGCCGCACTATCCACTGACGCCAGTCACGTTTCTCTGAACGGCTGTAGCTTCCGATGCCTATTACTAAAACAATCAGAAAATATTCTGATTAGCCCGTGTATCTGTTATCAAGCGATACAAGGTTAAATGGAATACTGTCGTTCGCGATGAATCGGGATGATGCAAACCTGGAAAATTTTGAGGTCCTGTGTTTAGGCAGGACCAGATGATTTAGAAATCGTTGGGTGGTATCTTGATGCAAATATTGCCTCGGTTTGGTGGGCAGAGGGGGATAGTCTTCAATGATCATACACGCTGCCTGTCCGTTGCTTGTGCCACTAAGAAAGCCTGGGTACCAGGTTGGTGTGGTTAACTCACAGGTTGCTCGTAACGAACGGTTACTCCGACCTAAGGAGATGATGTTGCCGTTTAAATGTCGCTTGGACAGTGTCCTACTACCGCCGCCTTTGCTGTACACCGATCCTTTCCCTCTGGATGATATCCTGGATGTTCCTGGAATCAGACAAACAACCGTTAATCACATTCTAATACATTTCTTCCTTACCAAATGAAGTCATACTTGGCAGAAAAACCTGAATCCTAACAAAATTTAATTGTTATAAAATCCCACTGTTCACTGATAGCCAAAAAATTGAATCAAGTTCATTTAAAGTTGAACTCCACAAACCTATATTCAACCAGCGAAATCATCTCAAACAGAGGAACCCAGACATACTAGTCTTGAGATCTAATGATTTTCTTTTGTAACTGCCTGTTGTGTCCATTCACAGCTGGATGATTCTAAGAGCTTTCTTTAAGGAGGACCTGCTAAAAACGTTCGCAGACTGGGACCATCAGGGAATGATAAGTTTGTTCAGGGTTCTCCTGCTCGATCATGCAGCTGGCTCATTTTATTTCTAGGTTCGTTGTCGGCTGTGGATTGTCTGTTCTCGTGTTCATGAAAATTTAGCCTGATGCGCGGTTTCATTTATCTCGATTACTAA